CCTCTTATTTCTATGCCATCATTACATTCAAGCACAGCCCCCTTATTTCTATTACATCATTACATTCTAGCACAGCCCTCTTATTTCTATGCAATCATTACATTCTAGCACAGCCCCCTTATTTCTATGCCATCATTACATTCTAGCACAGTCCCCTTATTTCTATGCCATCATTACATTCTAGCACAGCTCTTTTATGTCTATACCATCATTACATTCTAGCACAGCCCTCTTATTTCTATGCCATCATTACATTCTAGCACATCCCCCTTATTTCTATGCCATCATTACATTCTAGCACAGCTCTTTTATGTCTATGCCATCATTACATTCTAGCACAGCCCTATTATTTCTATGCCATCATTACATTCTAGCACTGCCCCCTTATTTCTATGCCATCATTACATTCTAGCACAGCTCTCTTATGTCTATGCCATCATTACATTCTAGCACAGCTCTTTTATGTATATGCCATCATTACATTCTAGCACAGCCCTCTTATTTCTATGCCATCATTACATTCTAGCACATCCCCCTTATTTCTATGCCATCATTACATTCTAGCACAGCTCCATTATTTCTATGCAATCATTACATTCTAGCACAGCCCCTTATTTCTATGCCATCATTACATTCTAGCACAGCTCCCTTATTTCTATGCCATCATTACATTCTAGCACAGCTCTCTTATGTCTATGCCATCATTACATTCTAGCACAGCCCCCTTATTTCTATGCCATCATTACATTCTAGCACAGCCCCCTTATTTCTATGCCATCATTACATTCTAGCACAGCTCTTTTATGTCTATGCCATCATTACATTCTAGCACAGCCCCCTTATTTCTATGCCATCATTACATTCTAGCACAGCCCCCTTATTTCTATGCCATCATTACATTCTAACACAGCCCCCTTATTTCTATGCCATCATTACATTCTAGCACAGCCCCCTTATTTCTATGCCATCATTACATTCTAGCACAGCCCCCTTATTTCTATGCCATCATTACATTCTAACACAGCCCCCTTATTTCTATGCCATCATTACATTCTAGCACAGCCCCCTTATTTCTATGCCATCATTACATTCTTGCACAGCCCCCTTATTTCTATGCCATCATTACATTCTAACACAGCCCCCTTATTTCTATGCCATCATTTCATTCTAACACAGCCCCCTTATTTCTATGCCATCATTACATTCTAGCACAGCTCCCTTATTTCTATGCCATCATTACATTCTAGCACAGCCCCCTTTTTTCTATGCCATCATTACATTCTAGCACAGCCATCTTATTTCTATGCCATCATTACATTCTAGCACAGCCCCCTTATTTCTATGCCATCATTACATTCTAGTACAGCCCCCTTATTTCTATACCATCATTACATTCTAACACAGCCCTCTTATTTCTATGCCATCATTACATTCTAGCACAGCCCCCTTATTTCTATGCTATCATTACATTCTAGCACAGCCTCTTATTTCTATGCCATCATTACATTCTAACACAGCCCCCTTATTTCTATGCCATCATTACATTCTAGCACAGCCCCCTTATTTCTATGCCATCATTACATTCTAGCACAGCCCCCTTATTTCTATGCCATCATTACATTCTAGCACAGCCCCCTTATTTCTATGCCATCATTACATTCTAGCACAGCCCCCCTTATTTCTATGCCATCATTACATTCTAGCACAGACCCTTTATTTATATGCCATCATTAGATTCTAGCACAGCCCTCGTATTTTTAATTGAATAAAAACTAATCGGGTTGACGTCAAGGACATAAACAAAAACAACAAATGAAGTAAGAAATGTGTTAATGCTTAACTATCTATTTAATAAACATAAACATTTTTAAGCCTTAATTAATTAATGTGTTTTCTTTTTAGTTTTAATCTCAGAACAACTTTTTTCCCATAAAAGAAGCTAATGAAGTTGTTTTTTTTACTGTGAATGTGAGGAAAATATTCTCCTTCTGATATTTTCGAAATAAACTATGTATCAAATTCAATTTCAATGATGCATGTAACGAGACTCTCTTGTTTTCTTTGTTATGTCGAGGCCGATGATGTCAGTACAAAGACGCCATCACAACACGACGAGTCTGAACAACCTCCCGTAGTTCAGGGGTACCAAAGAGACCTTGGCCCCGGAGCAAGCCACGTTCACAGGATCCAGGAACAGTGCTGTGGGTCATGGCCATCTCGAAACATGTGTCAGAGAAATAGTGACGGAGATTCTAGAAAACAAAAGCAATAAATTAAACTCTATCTAATGTTTGTTTAATAAGGTGCTGAGGAAAATAAATTCTTTTTTTTTTTTTATCTAAACATTGAAGATTTTTTCCCCCCGGCTCAATTCGCCAAAGGAGAAAAGGGTATTCAAATAATTGGATACGTCAGAGAAATTTCTCACTGCATGACTTAAATAACGAATAAAGTCCAGCAAAATGACTTAACCCAATACATGTAATATAAATTTTACGTGCTGTGAATGGATCTAATCATTAATGAAAGTGATATAACTACAGTGAAAGACGTTTACTTTATAAAATACAAATAAAAAGAGGTGGAATTTTGAAAGATGGAAATTTCTTCAAAGGGAGATCTCCAACGTGCCGCTTCGCGGCCCGATACTCGGGCTGAGAGTGGGGGTGTTTTGTGGAGGGCATAAAGAGCTTATGTACTAGCTCCGTTTCAAAGGGCAGAACTTAACCCAAAAAAAATTGTTAAGTTATTGATCGAGTAAGTGAAGCCTATGCTCATTAATCCATTCATTCAGGAAGAGATAGTTAACGTTGAGAATATTTCCATAATTGTTACTGACAGAAATGTATACCCTATTTAAGACAGATTCGATCCATCTCCTCAGAGGCCGGATGTGTTCATTGGTTGACTGCCAGACGACCAGGAAATCTTCCACCACATGATGTATTGAGTCAGGACGGGGCAGACGATCGTAGGGATGTTTGTGAACGAAATCGTGTTCTGAAAGTTCGCAAGTGGCAATACGAAAAACATGCAATAAATATTGAGATTCTTGGTCAGGGGCACATTCAAGAGAGTTTACCCCCCCCCCCCCCCCCACTTTAAATCGTGTTTCGGAAAACAGTGTTTAAAAATAAATGTGTAAATCCCTTAACATTAGAGCCAATACAATATGTAACAACCCATGGTCATGTCAATTTATTTTATAGACTCCCACCGTCATTGTTTTCTAGATTAGACATTAACATAGCCTTTAAAAAAAATATATATTTATACTTCATTGGTCAAACTACCTTGACAGAAAATAAATAGCAGGCCTAACCCAAAAAAATATTTTTTAATCGAATGCTGAATAAGTTAAATTTAATGAGAATGATCTAAAAGTAATGAGATTATTAAATAATTCGTATTTAATAGATGAAACTTAGGTAGGCTTTGTTTTTTTTTTGTTGTTTAGTATACCCGTTGGCAGTTGTCGGTAGTGGAACAGAATGGGGTGTAGGAAGTACGACTTGTGGGCCTCTGACGCGACGGCTTCAAATTTACTGGTGTACATGTCCGGTGCTCCATAGTCCAGGATGACCACGATAACCTGGTGACATAGTGTGGGGCATTAGCGGCTAAAAGAGAGAGAGAGGGGGGAGAGAGAAAGAGAGAGAAAGAAAGAGAGAGAGAGAGAGAAAGATAAGACACCAATGTTAGACTAGACAGCTGCAGCTGTCAATCCAAACTTCTATCATACCTCAGTTGCTTTGTGCCCTGACGTGGCAAGAAGGTGCGGCAGCAGGTTGACCGGGAATTCCTCCAGGTAGGTGGCGGTGTCGTTCTCCCTGAAGCAGGAATACATGGAGGAGTTTAACATTGGAGATTGTGTGAAAATAAATTAGCATAACACTATTGGCAATAAAATTTCTTAATGTGTCTTGAACTTACATGTACAGCACGAATTTATTAAAATCGTGGCAAAGGCGTTTGCAGAATCCGAGGAATGGGTCATGTGGCGTAAATTGGTCAATAAATAAGTATGGGAACACCTGTACAAGGGTCTGTAGGTGATAATGATGAATAGATCATTCGGACAATTCAGAAATATACCAGTTACACGTAGATCTATCTATTAGTCGCGGCAATTTAAAAATGCAAGCTACGTTGGGTACCTCGAGAGGATGCAAGGTTATAGAGGAGCAAAAGGGGTTTACAGGCAGAAACCAAGAGGCAAGTGGATTACCGCTCCACCAAGAATGAGATGGACATGTACACCAGTAAATGTTAAATTGTTGCGTCAGAGGCCCCACAAGTCGTACTTCCCATATCCCATTCTGTTCCATTGCCGACAACTGCCGACCGATTATTTATGTGGAGACGGATTTACATCGCAGGTAAGGGGGGGGGGGTGGGGGGCGCATCAAGACGAAAAGCCATGGAACGCTCTGAATGAAAGGATGTGGTTCAAAACTCTGCAGGGGCGGTCGGGCCCCGTTAATGGTGATAGTGATGATAATGATAATGAACAGGTGCGGGGTTTGTAGTAGAGCATATGTCAGTCGACAAGTTAATAAATGTAAGATGTAACAGCAGGGTTCAAGCTGACCTGTCTATGATGAGCACATCCCCGAGTATGCCGAACATTTGATAAAACCCCGAGCCTTCATTGAGTCTCTTGACGACTAGATTCAGGACTTGGTCCAACGGGACTGTTGTAGACGGCCATCTCACGCCCTCATAACGCCACTCCAGGAGACGGCTTAGGGCTTGACCTTAGCAATAATATTTATAGATCATCGTTATATTTTATCGTATAACCTTCGTATTGTTCTTCGTAAACAGTGGCATAGCTAGGGTAAGTGCCGCCTGCGGTGGGCCAAGATTTTAAAAAAAAAAAATATTTACATTAGGCCGAAAATACCACCCTCTGTGTAAAGAAACAAAATTTGCCACCCGGGGCGGAATACTCGTTCCGCCCCTCCCCTTCCTACGCCACTGCTCTCAAAAAACCATGGTTGCCATAACACAACGGGCTCATGAACACTAAATGATCCAAGTCTGTCTTCGTAATTACACTGGGTGTCACATCAAGTGACTGAAAATAGTCACGTGGTTGTAACAAGGCACATATCCATCGACTAAATAGTTTAACTCATTTTTAAAACATGTGGCATGACCAATATCATTTTTGGTGTTGGTGGATATGGGATGAGCAGCAGCAACCTTTGCTTGGTCACAATAATTTTTTTTGTCTATCAAAGATGAGTAAAATATCAACTAAGTTGAAAAGGTATCGGTCTTTCTTTTCTTAATGGATTCTTAACCGACTCATAAATTATATAAACAAACTCCAATATTTGTAGAATTTTCTGTCTCCAATTCAGTGTAAAAAGTTGAAATGTAAAAACAGCTGGCAGTGACAGGCTCGTAAATAAGACCAATGAATGCAAGACAAACGAAACGAACTAACTCGTGTAACGGAAGCCGTGAATAAATCCGCCAGCTGACTTCCGTAAATCCAGGGAATGCGAGGCAGTGCCGGCGACGAACAGGCCGGGGAAGTCAATGGATTCATAGGCGTGGTTTATGGCTGGGTACTTCTTGGCCTTACCCGGGGGTCTGCTGATGTGTGTGGCGCTGGTGTGGGGGAGGAAAGCACAAAGTTTAATTAGTTGTAAACAAATTGTTAAAATGCAAGCTTCGTGGGAGACGCATTTTAAGTTCGGGGGGTCTCTTAGAAGTTTGTGACTCCCTGGACGGTTCTTGATCTTTCAGCACCTTTACTCACGAAAACTGCAATGTACATCTCACACATCAAACAGAATGCAATGTACATCTCACACATCAAACAGAATGCAATGTACATCTCACACATCAAACAGAATGCAATGTACATCTCACACATCAAACAGAAACCTTGTATTCTATAAGTAGGGAGCCAAAAATGCCGCCTGTAGCGGACCGCCACCTCACCCCCCCCAAACCACTTATTCCAAATGTTATATGCATGTACGTGATCAAATCCAATACCTCATGTTTGGGGGTGTTGTAAATGTAACTTATGAAATGTGACCTTGTATAAAATGTCATTATGAGACTGTGAGCTCAGAGAGGATTATATGACAAGTACGAAAAGCCTTGTACGATTAAATGTTGACTACACAGCCCGGCATGAATCAGCTTACTTAAAGATGGAGGCATCGAAAGTGAATCCCGTGCATCTGATAACTACGTCATATCCGCCCCTCAAAGCGAAGTTATCTGGGATGTTGGTTCGGCTGTATTCAGAACCCAGATACTGAAAGTAGATTTTACGAAATTTTGAAACAATTTCTGTTCTAGTACATTCACAATCGATCAGCGCAACTTTTAAAAAGATTTATTTACATTTTGGGCCTCACAGTTTAGGTCTATCTATGTCTTTTTTATAAGAATTAGTAAAATAGGGTTTGAAAATAAAATCGTTTGCATGTAGCAATAGGATAAATTTATGATATGTTGTAAACTTGCAAAAACAAAGTAAGATCTCTACAGTCAGGGGAAGTAACAATCTTTATTCTGACGTCATGCATTTCCTTATGCAGTGGTTTTCAAGAGCCGGTCCCCGTACGGTTACAAATCATCAGAAAATTCCCTACCGGCCGTTCTTACTGTAATTGAAACCCTTAAGAATTTCGATTGAATTTTATTTGTATCTGTTTCTTATTATTTAAAAATAATGAAGGAAATAGTATTTAAAATAATAAGAAGAACGCAATGGAAGAAACGCAATTTAAATACTGTTTTATAACTCTACTTTAATGGCCCGCTAATGATGGTTCACGTTTTCCTAAGCCCGGAAGGTGTTTAAAGCCCAAAGTAGACCGTCAAGATATCATCTTAAGCTAAACACCAAAGCCCGGGCGATGAATAAATAGATACATTGTTAGGACAAAATACTTCAACGTTTGAAAATAAAGGCGAGCAGATTAATAGCATATAGGATTATAGTGTGTACATGTCCGTCCACAATGACGTAATATTTGCCCCCTCTCTCATGGAGACTGACGTCCTCCAGGTCAAGGAATGTGATGCCGTCCAGGGACTTGAGTAGAAACGTGTCCAGAATGTTGTTATTTATTGATCTGACGAGTGTAGAGAACAATAGAATAGAATACAAAACAACCCAATAGAAATAAAATAAAATAGATTAGGACATAATATAATAGAAAAGAATAGAATAGAATAAAACACAATATAAAAGAGTAGAATAGAATAGAAACATAATAATTTAATTAGAACAGAATAGAATAGAAACATAATAATTTAATTAGAACAGAATAGAATAGAAACATAATAATTTATTAGAACAGAATAGAATAGAAACATAATAATTTATTAGAACAGAATAGAATAGAAACATAATAATTTATTAGAACAGAATAGAATAGAAACATAATAATTTATTAGAACAGAATAGAATAGAATAAAACACAATATAAAAGAGTAGAATAGAATAGAAACATAATAATTTAAATAGAACAGAAAGAAATCAAATGTTCCGATTGTGCTGGTGCATTTATAACATGTTTATTTATGTCAATAAAATAATTTAATGCTGAGATTTAAAAAAAATAGTTTTGAGCTCAACTAAGCTTGCATCCATAATTTAATTTTGTTTTGTTCATACCTGAAAGCAAATTTATGTATAACACTTCACTTAACTAGCCATATACCATTGGCGTCCTTAAAATGTATTTCCATTGTCCTTTGAACCCGTGGCAGTTCTAGTTTGATTGATAAGCTAGTCTCTATTTTGCTTTTAATCTATGCAATATATTGTATACAGTGGAGAGGCAGTGCTGTTTTCGTTTATTTATTTTTTTACATATACAATTTTTGTTTTAATCCCTTTTTCATATCTTTACTTATTAGTTGCAAGTATTTTTACATTGAAATTCGGTCCATTTTTTTTTTTTATTTTAATCATGACACAACTTTTGAAAACATCGTTTGTTTCAAAACATCCCAAGACATACATCAGCAAATTAATGTTCTTTCAATGTATCTCAGCCTCTCATGATAAACGTAAAGCTATCCAGACTACATAAATACCGCATGCCATATTCTTGACATCTCATAAAGGCACATCTACTTCAACTAGTAAAGTAACAAAAAAATGCGTATAAGATCGTACGTAATTTCTTTAAACGAAAAAAAAATTGGAAGGGGAACTGAAACTTCAACCACAAACCCTACATACCATACACCTTTTCTAGAGTTCTAGATTTAAACAGGTCTCTGATCTCGATCATAAGACCTGCAGAGCTCTTCGAGTGTAAAGGGAATTTTGAGTGTCGATCCAGAGCTTTTCTATCGTTTTTGTTTTCTCTTAAATAAATATTTTTTGTTTCTTTAAAAGTTACGAAATAAGAACCCATGAGCCAGTGGCGTAGCGAGGGTGTTTGGCGCCCGGGAACAAGATTCGCGCCCGGGGACAAGATCCATTTTTAGCGCCCCTTTTTCTTTTTTTCAACTCTCAAACCCATTATTTTCATCAATAAAATAATATCAAAGCACATTTTGGCGCCCCTAACTAGCTGGCGCCCGGGGACATCTGTCCCCCCTGCCCCCACCACGCTACGCCTCTGCCATGAGCTGACCTTATGTCTCCGACGTAATGTGTATCCCAGGCCATGTTGATAGCAGGCTGACGTGTCAGAATGTGCACGTACTGTGTATGCCCATATATAGAGTCAGCCGTCTCCAGGGCCGAGTTTCCCATGCCTGAGTTTTGGCAAATTAACAAACAAACAAAATAATATTTATATGTCATTAAAACTTAATGGACTTGTTCGGTCCCACGTGTAGTTTAAATGTAATTACAATTAGCTGGATATCTTTCTAGTGGTTGACAATCCAATTCCTGCTAAATAATATGTCACCAAAAAAATGTGTTTCAAGAAAATAATGTGTTATTTTATGTCATCGATAACTATTGACAATGTCTCCATTTTTAAATAATAAAAAGTAATTATTTAACTATTTTGTCATTTGACAAAAAATGAGTTTGCTTAAATTGGAATTTTACATTAGAATATCTACAACAAATGGAAACATTAGATTTGAAAATAGATAAATCCTATAATTACAATAAATAATTTTATTTTGAAAAATTGATATATTTCTTTCAATCTGATATAATTTTCATGAAAATATCTGTATACGATTGTTGGGAGACGGCTTTTTTAAGTCTGAATATATCTATTTCCGATTTTATCCAAATATTATGGTTCTTTAAACAGATTCCGGTAGCAATACTTAGTTAAAAGAAACTTCAAAATCAGCACACATTATCAACAAAGAAATTAGTGTTTCTTCATCTTATTTCGAGGGAGTTCGACACCCCCCCCCCTTTTTTCAGGGTGATAGGCGAAAATCCGCGAAGTAGCGACCTTATATTTTTAATTTATATATACACACTGCTATTAAACTTTCTTAAAGTCTTATAAACACTTCCTTTGCTCTGAAATACTTTCTGGACTCTTAAAACTACCTAATTTTAACCTCAATTAAAATTGTATATAAATCTGCGATAAAACGTTTAATATTCCCTGTATACAAGTGTAAATTCGCGATACAGTGAGATCGTGAAATGTAAACCGGGATATGAAGACGGTCGAATGTAAATCATATTCACTGCCCAAATCAACAGAGATTTTAAAAGTGTGTTGAAGGAATAGAAAATTGTAGACTGAGTATGTCCCGTGTGCCTCACCTAAAATCAGAACACTTTTGTTCTCGTAGAGTTCCGGAGCAGTGGGAAAACTCTCGTAACCAAGTGCTTTCTCAATGCCGTCTATGTTGGGAATATTAGGTTTCCACATTCCGGTCGCCAATACCACAGTTCTGGAGAAACGGCGAGGTAGTTATCAGCATTCATAATTTATGTTGTTTGAGATGTGAGAGCCACACTGTGTTTAAATCTTGAACAACACACAATGGACACAAACTTTGACGTTGATCTTTCATCTTACCTGCAGGTATAGGTATTGCCTATCTGGTCGTCCATTAAATACATGTCACCGTTTGAATGATCGACCGATTCTGGACGTAGGTTTTTTATCTTTGAACACAGAAGCAAATTTGAAGGAACAAAAATAAAATATATATTTTAAAAATGGTATTGAACATTTTGGTAACTTATTATTTCAATTCAAAGTTATTTGATGTGTATAATATCTAATCCTGTCATAAAAAAAAAAACTAGGCGAGAGATGGATATTTTCTCCAACCGTGTTTTTTTGTACAAGAATGTACACAATATTTCAAACGGCAAATCCACAGCTACAGAAGACTTCAATCAATTTTTAAAAAGGTCTATTATTCGTCCTTTATCAAATATTCAACTCGCATTTCTCTATATATCTTCGCTTCATTGGCCTTTAACATTTCAGAGTCACGCAATGGATTTCCTCTACAGGTGAGTTTAGGGCATCCCTTTAAATGTTAATACTGCCTTGTGTGGTCGACGCCTCTGCAACATCAAATTCAACATCAATATCTGAACGGAATTCACATTGGTTTTCAGAAATTAGTCCCTGTTCAATGTGTAATTGTAGACGATTAAGTAGGACTCTGGCCAAGATCTTCTCAGCTATGGTAGGAGAGAAATACCTCGATAGTTGTTACCGGTTTGGCGACTGCCTTTCTCTTGTTTATGTGTATTATATTTTTGTCCTTCAATTGTTGAGGGAGTGTACCATCTTTCCGTATCGAATCAAATAGACATGTCACCGTTTTTGTCAGGATGGGGCCTCCTGCTATTTAGATTTCAAAAGGGATTGCATCTTGTCATAGGGATTTATTTGAGGAAAATTGCTGGAATGCCTTCCGACTTCACCTCCATTGGGACTATTGCCTGGCCCTTGGTTGATCTCGACCTGGAGTAAACGAACTATTGCATTAGCGTTTATTGCACCTGGACAGTTAAGGACAAAAGTGTTTGGTCCATTTTTTAAAAACAATCTGACTCCTGTCTGACAGTACCCGAGTTTCATCTTTGTTAAGGATGGGCACGTGACCTGAAGACTGTGGTCCAAGGACTTTTTTTAAGGCATCACAGAGGCGCTTTGCATCATGTCTAGCTTAGCGTCATGTCTAGGCTAGAATTATGTCTAGCTTAGCATCATGTGTATGGGCAAATCCCTGAATTTTCTCGCCCTTCCTGCTCGGTCATGATTCCTGCAGTTCACAAAGTTTCTTTTGCACTTTATGTTTCATTTTGCTAAGAACGTCTTTCTCTACCTGTCACGTAGTGTTGTTCATCAAGCCAAGCTTTGTCTTTGCTTCTGTGGGTTGGTGCTCCGTAGGGCTCTAGAGCAGTGGGGTAGATAATATCTCTTAATTTCTAACATTTAAAATCAATATTTTCATATTCCTCCGAGGCATTGTCGCACAGCCTGCGTTTGAGTTCAGTGAAAAGAAAAATTCTTCATTCATATGTGTACACATTAGCTTGTGAATATTAAGCTTTGTTTGTACACTTAAGCTTGTGAATATTAAGCTTTTTTGTACACTTTAGCTTGTGAACATTAACTCTTTTTTTTAATGTCTGGCCTTGACGTCTTCTCGTGGATATTACATTAAATTTTAATCAGTATATTATGAGACGATGGTCAGTCCAGCAGTCAGCGCCACAAACAGCATTGGTGAATGTAAAATCTGTTATATCATTTTTTTCTGGTGATGACATCGTCAATCATGTGCCATTGCTCAGAAGGAGGATGTATCCATAAAGTCGTATTTCGTGTGGGGAGGCTGTAGAGTGTGTCGGTGATACGAAGTGCATTTTTGTGCACAAGTTTAGGAGCAGCAGAACGTTGCTATTTACTCTCCTTGGACATGTCTCCCGATAGTTCCTTTTCATATCTGGTGGCCTGTTTCAACTCTAGGTTTGAAGTCCCCGAGGCAAATGAGCTTATCTCATTTTTTAACCTTTGAGATGACATTTTCTAGTTACTAGTCCTTCATAAAATGTGTTTGATTTTTTTTTTTTTTTTTTTGCTTTTCTCTGAATTTTTTGTCGTTGAAGTATAAGCGCTGATGAGTTTTTCTCCTTTTTGTTTAGTTTGAAGTCCCCGAGGCAAATGAGCTTATCTCATTTTTTAACCTTTGAGATGACATTTTCTAGTTACTAGTCCTTCATAAAATGTGTTTGATTTTTTTTTTTTTTTTTGCTTTTCTCTGAATTTGTTGTCGTTGAAGTATAAGCGCTGATGAGTTTTGCTCCTTTATGTTTAAATAGAGGGATTTATAAGATCAGGACAATGGCTTTAGACCTACTTGAAACACGGATTATTTAGACTTAAGACTTTCAAGCTGTAACATTTTTTTTTTTAAATAAAGAATTGTTTCATATTTTACCTCTGTATTAAATTGTACTTTGATTCTATTTTTTGTCTGGAAGTCCTTCAAGTATTTCACCAGGACGTCTGCAGATGGGAAGAGGTCCTCAAAAAGATAAGTGGAAAATTTTTTTACTACAAATATTTGATTTTTGAATATAGATTAAAGTTGATAACAAAGTGTAACAGCACACATTGGTAAGAATTTAATGCAGGTTGTGTGGCGAAGTATTTTTTTTTCAATATAGCTAAAGTCTATGTTCGAACTGGGAAATAAGAAAACACATTAGGTCACCAGCAGTGCCAGATTAATTTAAATAAATATGAAGCACATTCCTAGGGGTTCCAAACCTTTTAGGGCCCCGCGACAGAGGATCAGCGGTTTTTAATTTATCTTATATGGAATATAGGCGTGATGAGTTAATTTGAACATGGGCGTGATATGGTTATTTGAACATGGGCGTGGTGAGTTAATTTGAACATGGGCGTGATGTGGTTATTTGAACATGGGCGTGATGTGGTTATTTGAACATGGGCGTGATGTGGTTATTTGAACATGGCCGTGATGTGGTTATTTGAACATGGGCGTGATGTGGTTATTTGAACATGGGCGTGATGTGGTTATTTGAACATGGGCGTGATGTGGTTATTTGAACATGG